GAGACAGAGGCTACAGGCAAAGGGCAGGACAGTGTGGGCCCTACCCTCCCCAAGTGTACAGACAGGCAAATTGACCCTCAGTGACAGGTACACCTTTGCCAACCCCTCATCTGCAGCTGCCACCCAAGTTAGGTGGCCAATCGGCTTGGTCCCCAGGCAGCCACTGAGTCAGCTTTCCCCAGCCGTAGGGACCAGCTTTTGGCCTTGGATGGGGGGACAGCAAAGTGGTAGTTAGTTTTCTGGGAACTACCTACCACCCCATCCTGCCCTCTCCCCTCAGCTGGGGCCCCGTCCTTTCCAGAGACTCAGCTGAGGTTTTGGCAAGTGGCAGGTCTGCCAGGACGGGTGGATGGCGCGGGAAGCGCCACGGTGAGGTCAGTTTCCAACTGCCCAGGCTCCTTTGAGTCCTTGGATGAGGATGCGAGTGGGGTCCTTGCGAGCAAACCTACCTACTCGCGTGGTCCCACGCGTTGGCTAGCGGCGGGCGGAGGCAGCGGGCCGACTGGGCTGGCCGCGCCCCTCTGCGCGCCCTCCCCGTGCGCCGCTGGCAACAGTGCCCCTCCTGGGCAGGGGGAGGAGAAGCTGGGGACGATGCGGCAGTGGCGGAGGGACTGGGGAGTTTCCCTCCTCTGCGGCGGTGACCGTGGCTCTCCGGCTCCAGGAGAGGTCGCCGACCGTTGTTTGCTCCGGTCGGGCTTGATATAGGTGGCAGTGGCCGTGGCGCTCCCCGCAGCCGGGCTTCGGAAACTTCCTGGCCAGGACGCGTGGAGCTGGCGCAGGGAGCCGAGCTGAGCGGAGGTGAGCGGAGCTCGCGCACCCTGGGCCCTCATCGCCGCCCCTCACGCCTTCCTCGAGCGCGCGCCCCACCCTGCGGCCCGGAGCCTGCAGCCCGCCCGCTCCCCGGAGACACGACCACTGAGCTGCACACGCGTGCACCCAGCAACCACCCCTGACCCGTCACCGGGCCGCCCAGCGCATGCCCCAACTCCCTGGGCCACCCCAGGACACACCCAGGTAGACCCTCACTAACGTCGGCGCCCCCACCATGCCAACCCCCCTACAGACACCCCGCCCACATTGGCAGCCAAAGAAGCCCCCACAGAAGCCCACACCCACGTGGCCTCCGCGGGCCGTTCCAGCTCCAAAGCTTGGAGTTGTCCCTGTCCCGGCACAGCTGATATCCCCTGCGCACATGGATTGAGTGCCATTCTCTGGCACTCCTCCAGTCCCCATCGCAAAGAGCCCCCAGCACCTCCACGCCCCGAGCCCCTCGCGTCACTCCTCCACACCAGGCACATCACAGCTGTAGGCTCAGTGGCAACCCTGCCGGGCGCCTCAGACTCTCAGGCTCAGACGCTAGCAGCTCGGCCACGGGGTGCCTCCCCAGGCTGCCCCAGCCTTCCCAGCATCTCGCTTGGCCTCACCTAAAAGCTAAAGAAGATATTTGGGGGCCCAGGTAGGTGCTGCAATGGCCAGGAGAGGGCCGCCAGGAAGGCCACAAGAAGCAGGCGCCCGGCTGGTTCCCACAGGGCCGACTCCGCCTGTGGTCGGCAGCCTCGCGAGGGCCAGGGTGTGCGTGCTGTGCGCGTGCCTGCCTGGCTGCGCTGTGTGTGGCCGCGCTGGGGTGCACGTGCGCTTGTGCGTGTCTGGGGGCGCAGGAGGGGAAGACAAGGCAAGAGGAAACGCAGGTGGCACCCTCTTGGTCTCCCTCGTGCAACAACTGGTTTCATTCATTCATGCCTTCCTCGTCAGCGCGCATTTCTTCCATAGTCCGGCCGTGTGCTGCCCTGTCGGGCCTGGGGGTCTGGCGCACACGGCCGGTCGCCTTGGAGGAGCTCCCAGGCCCGCGGGAGACAGAAAATGGATATAGTGGCCGAGCGACTGAGTTTGGCAGCGGTGATGTCGCTGGGGGTGTGCTCCTGGCCACGTGACCAGCCGCGCCAGCCGAAATCCTGCCACTGGGCCTGGTGGGAACCGTGCATTTCATTTGGAGGTGGGGGCGCAGCTCTCCTCTTTCGAGACTCCCGGGCCAGAGGGCGCAGAAAGCACGCACAGAACCTGCAAGCTGAGGCGCCCCTACAGCCTCCAGGGGGCGCTGGCCAGTCGGGCCAAGGTCGAGGCTCCTGGAGGGTCGGTCTCCCCTTGCTGGGACGCCAGAGACCAAGAGGGTGTGCGTAGCGAACACAGCGTCCACCCTGCAGTAAGCGGCGAGCGCTCGGCCTGCAGCCTGGCCCCGCCTGCGCGAGGCCTGGCGAGGCTGGGGCGCCGAGCCCCCTCCCCCGCCCGAGCCCCCAGGATCGGGCTCCGGGCGGGGCCGTAACGTGAGCAGAAGCTGCAGGGGCCCCTAGTGGGGTAGGGCCCGGCAGAGTGGGGGGTGGGGGGTGCCGCTCCCACCCTGCAGTGCGGAGGTGGCAACAGGTTCCCGTTTGTCCTCTGCGGACGTGGCCACAGAACATTCACCCAGAGACTGAAGCCTTCCCCGAACACTCCCTGGGGCTCCCCAGGGCCGTCAAGCTACAAGTAGGCAGTGGCTCAGGAGTGGAAGGACTCGCTGGCGGAGGTCTGGATCAAGGGCTATGGCTGCAACGGAGCCCTTGGGAGCTGCAGGCACGCTGGCCCCCAGGGGATTCTTTGTCCTTAAATGCACCCGTCCTTCGCTATTGACACCCTTCCACCCCCAGAGAGCACCCTGGCTACCGCTGGAATTCCTAGCTCACTCTCTCCTGCCCCACTCTACCCCCAAGGCTGAGCCAGTCAAGCACATACATCGCTGGTCGCTCGCTGACCACAGCGCTTTGGTGCTTCAAATCCTGAGGCAGTGAATCTCATGGGGGTCCCTAGGTGGGGTTCCCATGGCCGGAAGCTTGCTGATAAAGAGGTACTGGAGAGCGCCTAGGAGGAAGCCAATTGCCCTTGAGGCAGGAAGACTGGGGGGGGGGGTGTGTCCCAAAGAACCAGGCCCAGAGTACGGGAAAGGGGGCCGACCGTGAAGGCCACGAGTTCCTCAGCATGCCCGGGGCCCCAGCTTTCTGGAACCCTGTCTTCCAGCCAGCATTTTCCCATCTCACTCTGGCGCTCAGGAGGAGCTCCCGTGGTGGCAGTGGCTCACCTATCCCTTTTCCTGCTAGTGTTGGCCTGTTTTCTTCAGATGGATTCCTAGAAGTGGTTAAAGGGCTTGGATTTAAACAACTGAAAAACAATTGTTTGATACATTTTGCCAAAATCATTTTCAAAAGGGCTTCACCTCCACCGCGGTAGATGCAGCCACCAAGTTCCCAGTGACTTTTCGGATGTGATGTGTTGTTCATGCTGCCTTGACTTTGCTTCCTTTCCATGCCCGAGGCATGACATTTCCCCCGATTCTCCAGAGCCCATCACGTCTCCTCCCTTTCGGCGAGCCTGCATATTCTCATTTTTTCTGTTGATTTTGTCAGCCTTGTCTTACAGCAGCACATTTCCCTGCAGCATGTGATTTGCTTTGATGGCTTTTAAGGAACAGAGCTGGATACCAAGAGCACCCCTAAAGTCCTTTGCCGTCACCTTGTTCTCTCATGATCTCAGGCGCACCCTCCCTGTTTACTGCTGACCTGTTCTGGGAGAATGTGAGCACCATGTGAGCAGGGACTGTGGGTCCTGCTTGGCTTAGCACCCTGGGTCTATGGAAAGGAGACCCTTGGTCTTGGCTGAAAGAATAGCTGAGTTCTGGTGGCAGCGCCTAAGGCCATTGGGGCAGAGAAGAGGGTGCAGGCCTGAGAGGTGTTCAGATGCGATTAGATAGGGAGGGAGGGTCAGGGGAGGAGGCCACAGGAAGACCCTGAATGACTGGGGGTGCAGAGGCTGCCTGAGAAGGCGGACAGAGCTGCAGTGTCATAGTTGGGGCAGAGCTCCTGGGTGTCTCTGACCAAGGTTGTCCTGCCGGAGCCCTGGGCGCTGCCTTCTGCCTCCCTCCCATGGCATCATGACATCCCACAGTGCCCTAAGGTGGTGGCTATGGGGAGACCATGGAGCAAGGGGGCATGATGATCCAGGGTCATAGAGTTGGGTTGGTAGGAAGCAATCTCTGGGGCAAAGGTCCCCACCCTCGCCCCTCCCCCTGCCTCCTGGCTGAGTGGCGCCACCAGACAGCCTGAGGTTGACCATTCCTTCCTGGGCCACCTACTGCCCTTGGCCTCTGCCCCTTCCTGTCCCGCCTCAGTGGACGCCTCGGCTCAGCACTCCCCGCAAAGGGCCCACCCAGTTGCTCTGGCTGGAACCTGTTGGCTAACTGGCCACCCTGAGCCCTCCCCGGCCCGCCCCCGGCCCGCCCCTTTGCGCGGCAGCTTCTCCTGCAAAAGGAGCAGCCTCCGGAGTGGAAGCTGAGTCCGCGGCCAGCAAGTGACCGAGGACAGACGGCTCGGGACTTGAGACTTGCCTTCCACGTGCACACCCCACTATGGCCAGGACGACCGCCAGTGGCCGCGCACCGTCGCCGGATCTCAATAGGTCTGTCTCCTGCCTTGTCCTCCCCTCTCCCACAGGGAACCAGGACAGCTTGGCTCCAGGGGGATCCTGAGGCCTTGACCTGGGCACCACCGCTGTGCTTGGACCTGCTTGTGTACGGAGCAACGGGAACCTTCTAGTCCCAGCCTAGAACCCGCAAACAGAAAAGTTCAAAGTTGCAGAGTGATCTCAGGCAGGCCAAGTGAGAGATGAAGAGGGTGGCAGTCTTGGGGCATCTTCAGAGGGACTGGGAGAGACCCAAAGCCGTCGAAGGGTCACTAAATGGAGCAGAAAGCAGCGTAGTGCACCGGGCGGGGTTTTTTTTGGGGGGGGGTTACGCTCCTGCATGTGGCAGGAGAAGCGGAACCAGCGGGGTGTGTGTGTGTGGGGGGGGTGTCCCTGGAGGCCCGGAGACCCGCCGTAGGAAGCAGATAGGGCTGCAGGGCCCAGCTGCCCGTCCAAGCTCATCCTCGCTTTCTCTCTACAGCACCCTTGGCCAAGCGAGCGGGGAGTCTGTCCCCATGGAGGACCTGGGCCGATCGTGCCTGTGGCTGAGCCAGGAACTGGAGGCCCTGAAGCCTCTGCTGCTGCTTCTGGATTGCCGCACTCGGGAGCTGTACGAGTCCGCACACATCACTGGGGCGCTGAATGTGGCCCTGCCCGCGCTCCTGATGCGCCGCGTGCGCAAGGGAAGCCTGTCGGTGCGCTCGCTGCTGCCCGGGCCTCCGTTCCAGACACTGCCGCCCGCCCAGGTGATCCTGTATGGTCAGGGCAGGAAGCAGCGACGGGATGGGCAGACCGAGGCCGAGTGGGAGGCCGAGGCTGCCAAGGAGCGGGAAGCGGAGTCAGTGGTGAGCACTCTGCTGCAGAAGCTTCGGGAGGAAGGCTGTATGGCCTACTACCTGCAAGGTAGGTGTGCGGGCCACCTAGGGGTCCAAGGCCCTTGCTGCCCAGGGCGTCACCAGTAATTCGACCTTGGACTACGAGGAGGTGACACCTCCTCTTCTATCCCCTTTGCTCTTTGGAGCCCCAATTTCTGAGTCTGGAAAATGGGGAGACCTGTACTGAGGTGACCTTGCTCACTGAATTCCCAAGAAGGAAGTGCTGGGGGGGGGATCCTGGTGGCGATCACCCTGCCTCCCAGGTTAGCAGGGACTTGCTCCACACCCGGAGCCCCAGGCAGGGACAAGGCTCCGAGAGCCTGCAGAACCAGCTTCCCCACCTCCCGCAGCTGGTAGCCACAGAGGGTCACAGGACAGCATCGCTGCTGCATTCTGAACGTAAGCCACTTGGGGGCACCAGTGAGCGTCGAACTGCAGGCTTTCTTGTCTTCGGACCTCTGGGGTCAGCCTGTCCGCAGACAAGAGAGCAAGTCCCTCTTTCTCCCCTTCCCCCACAGGTGGCTTCAGTCAGTTCCAGACCATGTACCCTCACCTGTGTGAAGCCAGAATGCAGAATGAGGGCGGTGCCCAGGCAGCACAGGCGTCTCCTCCTGCGCCTGTGGTGGGGCTGGGCACCCTGTTCTTGAGCTCTGAGACTCCCAACACCAACTCGGAGCAGGAGCGCCAACCAGCGAACGACTGCCAGCAGTCGAGGGGCACCACACCTCCACCCAGGGGCCTTTTGCCGCCCTTTCCTGTCCAGATTGTGCCCAACCTGTACTTGGGCACTGCCCAGGATTCCGCCAACCTGGAGAATTTGGCCACCCTGGGCATCCGTTACATTCTCAATGTCACCCCCAACCACCCCAACCTCTTCGAGAAGAACGGAGTGTTCCACTACAAGCAGATCCCCATCTCGGACCACTGGAGCCAGAACTTGTCTCAGTTCTTCCCAGAGGCCATCACATTCATCGGTGAGTCAGCAGACAGTCCCCTCCATTCTCGGCCCACACCACAAGAACTCCTTCCCACCTACAAGGTATTCCAAGTGGACACCTCACTGCCCCTCCCAGAAAGCAAGACAGAAGTGGCTAGGTGGTGGGCAGTGGGGGCCCTCCTAGAGGCCTGGCCTGTCAGCGCCTCACGTGGTTGTCCTTCCCTGCCCCCCTTAGAGGAAGGCTTGGCCCGCAACTGTGGCGTGCTCGTCCACTGCCTGGCCGGTGTCAGCCGCTCCGTCACTGTCATCGTGGCCTACCTCATGCAGAAGCAGCACCTCTGTCTCAATGATGCCTATGACCTCGTCAAGACAAAGAAGGCCAACATCTCCCCCAACTTCAACTTTATGGGGCAGCTGCTGGACTTCGAGCGGAGACTTAGGAAGGAGAGGAGTCTCTCAAGAGCAGGCGACAGTGGAGGACAGGAGTCCACCCCCTCCGATAACGCACCCTCCTTCTTCACTAGCCCCCCCCAGCAGCCATGTCTTTGATCCAAACCGCCCCTAAGGGCCCTCATGCCCCACACCCTCTGCCTCCCAATGGGTGCTCCCGACCACCTCATGTGGCGGGGGAGGGGGTAGGTAGGCTGGAGGGGGGTCAACTCTGAGTAGGGGTTTGGGGGGACACAATACCTCACATGGCTAGGGGAGCTGGAGACTGGGGCCCACCCGCTTGAGACATCAGCGGGCTTTCTATTAAACCTGCTGTTGCTTCCAAGCACTTGGGGCCAGAACCTGCCTCTTCTACGACTGTTACTTTTTTCTTTAGGGGTGGGGGTGGGGTCCCCTGGCTTTGCTGCTGTCCTGTCTGGGAAGGTGTGGCCTCTGAGGAGAAAGTCTCGCCTGGGTGGGGGTGTGGGGCACTTTGAAATGATACACTGGAGGAGAAGGACACACCCCACACGGGGCCATGCACATGTCACAGCGCTTTAAACCCAGGGGAAGTGCGTCTTCATTGTCTTTATAATCCATCTCATAATCACCATTAATTGTTCCCCTTGAATAAACTTTAAGATACCTCAAGATGCTTCCTGAGGTCATTGTGGGCTTTGGGGCAGGTGGTGAGGGGGGTGAGCGGGCAAGACCCTGCTGGGAACGGAGCCTTGAAGGAACTGCCAAGGACCCAGGACATCAAAGGCCCGGGCCCTAGAGCCAGCCACCCCTCCCCCCAGGCTCCACCCCCACCTCTTCCTCCAGCTCACAGCCATTCCCAGCCCCCCAACCAGTTCCTCCTGGTCACTGTTCTCAGTTCGAGGAAGCAGACGCACAAGCCTAGCGCCTGAGGGGCTGGCTCTCCATGGGGGTGTGTGTGTGTGTGTGTGTGTAGGACCCAGTGGGTCCCACGGCTTATGCTCAGGGCCGAGCCAGGAAGGTGGCCGGAGACGAGGCACCCACAGTGGCCTGGAATGTGACCAGCGAGGACCAGGCTGGAGGCCCCCTGAGGTGACAGGTGGAGGGCAGCTTCCTCCCTGGCCTCCAGGCCTCTGCTGGGTGTGGCCTCTGCCTTGCTGGAAGAAAGCCTGAGGGGAGGAAGCGCGAGGTGTCAGGAAGGACAGGGGCGTGACTGGTGGAGGATGGGCGCACCGGGTCTTGGAAACTCACTTTGCATGGATGCCCTCTGAAGCCCAGCTGGTAGTCTTTGACCCAGGAACTAAGGGGCTGGAGTGCGGCTTGGCCTGAAGCTTCTCACATTTTACTTGAGTTGTCGCTACTGCTTAGGGCCCTTCCTCCCAGGACGTTCCCTAAGGCCACACCCAGTAATCTAATGAGGCTAGAGAACAAAGCAGAGCTTGAGCAGGTGGGACCTGCCGCAGGCAGGCCGAGTCCTTGTTGCTGAGGTCTTTCACCCCTCAAAACCTACACCAAACACCCTATGTCACTGGCAAAGGCCGTGTAGGAGAGTTCTCCAGGGCCATCACCTCCTCCCGAGGAGCAGCTCGAGGTGGACTCGAACCCCTGACCTTTCCGTTAGCAGCCATCAAGGTTCCTTCCTGCAATAAACCCGAACTGTTGACCTCAGTGCTTAATCCACCACATCACCAGGCCACCTTTCCTCACCCCTAGAATCTGTGCACATGTCATCTCACTTGCAGCCAAAAGTCAGAGGGACACTGGCAGAAGACAGAGCCCCCAGAAGATAACCAAGGAGAGGGTGTAAACCACTACATTTCTGGTGGTCACATCCAAATTGATAGGAAGGAGAGCGAGGATATGTGGTTGTCTTGACTTTGGATGAGAGAAGCTGTTATGGGGACTGTCTAGGTCCAGAGTAAAGACCTAGACAGTACAGAGCTGACAGGCCGAAAGCTGAGACAGCGAGGTTCAGTGAAGACTGCAGCCTCCCTCCAAAACCCTAGAGGGCAGTCCTGCTCTGTCCTCCAGGTGGCTGGGATGAGAATTGATCCAACCACAGCAGCAGAACCTCACTCTTGGAAGGCCACGGGGGAGAGCAGTCTGAGTGGGAGGAAGAGTTTAGACACAAAGAAATTAACAGCATGTAAAACCATACCGTTGGTTTGGCTTGTTTGGTTTTTTTTTAAATTGAAACTAAGATCATCTGGAGTTAAGCATTGGCCCAGAATGTCTGGCAGATGCAAACCCAGATCATCTGTGTAGAACTATGCTTTAAACAAAGGCCTCAGAAAATACCTATAGAACATTCTCAAGGGCATATATACAAAAGTTGAGATACATGGAATGTACAAGCGTACAGGTCCCCATGAGACTGAAGAAATAAAGAAGTACAGTATTAACCTACAAGATGGCAGACTTTGAAATTATCCAACCTAGAGTAGAAAAAGAGGTACATTAGAAAGAAAGAAAAGGAAGTATTAAAGTATAACAAAAGAACAAGAGCTTACAAAATGACCTGGCACTCTGAAAAGAAACTTTGTTTATAACTTAAAAATATAGTTGTTGTTGTTGTTAATTGCCAGTGGAGTCATAGGTGACTCATAGCAACCCTATGAACAAAAAGTCCTCAACACTTGCGTGGCTTTCATCCTCTCTCCAGGTCCACAGGGTCTCCAGAGTCAAGCTATTTCGGAAGTGGATGCCACTCCTGCTTCCAAGCTTGTTTTAACCGGGAAGTTCCACCAATTGTTTCCTATGCATCTGGAAGTTGGACAATGAATAAGGAAAGTTGAAGAATATATGTACTTGAGCTGTGGTGTTGGAGAAAAGTCCTGACTAGCCCATGGACCTGTCTTGGAGGAAGGGCAACTGGGGAACTCCTGAGAGACAAGGATGGTGAAGCTTTGTCTATGGACTTTGAGGAGTAGCCAGCCTTTCCTTAGAAAAGTAGGTGGAGGGTCAAAGAGAGAGAGGCAGAATCTCAACGAGATGAAGCAACCTGGTGACTGCAGCAATGGGCTCAAGCATATCAGAAATGGTGAGGACGCAGGACGCTTGACAGGACCGAACAACAACCTAGTCATAAGTGCAAAGACTCCAGCTCATTATCACTCCATGTGTCAGAGTATAATCGTGCTCCCAGGGGTTGACTGCGAGGCCTGTCTTCCAAGATGCTTTTGGTTGGCAGCTGAGCATGTTCACCATTTGCCTCCGGAACTCCCTTATCCACCTCAAGATCATCATATCCAAAGCCAATGTCATCATGGGACCCCCTCCAAACCCACTAGCGCTTCAGATGACCGCTCAGTGAAAGACATCATGGTCCACCCTTCACTTAGTGGGCCCTCACGCGACTGCCTTTGGAAGCCCTGCCATCCCGGCGTGCTTCAGGACCGTGTGGCTGCCCTGGTACGGCTCAGAACTGGGGAGATCGTTTTCCCGCATGATGTCTGGAGGCACTCCTCTCAATCCCAGGTCTGTCTCCAACACGCGGGACAGCCAGCGCATCACCCTCAACTTCACGCCGGACTTGCACTGCGCCCCCTTGTGCCTAGAATAGCGGCTCAGCTAGCAGCAAGCCAAGATGCCTTAGGATCTCTTGTCCCTTCAGCAGTTGCTGGTATTCTGGCCACAACTCCCTGGCCTTCCCCTCCTTGGCTAAGCTTGATGCCCTTCTTCTCCCTGCAGCACACCCCACTGCCCAGTCACCCCAAAGCCTTCCTCTCTCAAACAGCCTACATCTGGTGACAAAGGAAGGGGTTGTTGTTGTTGTTGTTGTTGTTATGTGCCATCAAGGCGCCTGCGACTCATACAACCCTGTGTACAACAGCCCTAAACCCTACTCTGTCCTGTGCCAATCTCATTGCCTCTGATAACACCCATCCCGACTACCCCAGTCACTGAATCAGTCCACCTCATAGAGGGTCCACGTGCTCACATCTGCCCTGTATCACTTCCGCTGCTGCGCAGCCAGAGCCTTCGGAGCTTCAGATCCCAAAACCCGAGCACAGCTCAGGGGAGTCAGGCTCCGGCGCGCCCTCTCCTGACAGGCTCCCTTACAACTCCCTGGCTCTGGGACCGCAGCCTTGCACTCTCAGCAGAGAACGTGAGGCGGGAGGAGAGACAGCAGCTGCCCCGCCCCGCTAGAGGCACAGGCATCCCCACAGGCACATTCCCAGGCAGGCGCACTGCAACCCACACCCCGAGACCCGTGGCACAGACTCCCACTCCTGGGGCTTTGGGTAGGATGGAGGGTTTTGCTGAAGCAGCTGAGGTTGGGGTGACACTAGGGTTGAAGCTGTGTGGTCGTGTCACAGAGACAGATGGTGTAGAGGAAACATGTCCCCTCTGCCCCTTCCCAGGTCACCACTGGCCCGTTGCTCTGTCAGTCTTTATTGGTTTGGGGCACACTTGGGGGGTAGGGACCCCAATACAAGCAGAACCACACACAGGCAGCAAAGCACAGAAAAGTCCAGCAGACCAGCCCAGAGGGGAGGGGAACTCCACTGCACCCTGTGGCTCTCAACGCCAACGCTCCACGCGCCCCTGGCCAAGTGATCCAAGAAGGCTGTCCCTGATGGAAGCAGGGAACTGGGTGGATGGAGAAGCAAAGGGGTACAGTCAGGCACCATGCCGCTGCAATGTCCCCTCTCCCCAGAGTGGTAGCCCCAGACCAGTGCCACCCTTGGAGTTGGCACTGTGAGGCTCCCTGCTGGCTGTCCCCAGCCTCCACCGCCCCTTCCAGATCAGTGGCAGGTGCCCACATGCATGCACTGGTCTGGTCGTCACCACTTGGAGGACTGTGAAGTGAGGAGGCTGGAGTGGGTGTGACAGGTCATGACCTGCGCTGAGGCCTCCTCGCCCCCGGGGCTGTGCCCCATCTTGCGAATGTGGCGCAGGAACGAGGTAGTATTGAATGCTCGCTGTGGGGAGAGAGAATGAACAGGCCCCCCGATGCATGATGTCCAGGCTGAGCGGGTGGCCCACCAGGTACCTGACGTCCTCCTCCGTGTAGGAGACCCATTCCCCGATGTGGTCAAACATCTCACGCCCCACCACCTTGAGGGGAACCAGCAGGCTCAGACCCTAACGCCTCCCTCCAAGCACCAGGCTGCTGCCAGCTCCAGGACCAAGTAGAG